ACAAATCGAGAAATACACACGAGAGACCCTAACCATGGATTAAAGCATTTTTACCGATTAAAATTTAAACTTTTATGAAAATGAATTATAAAATACATATGCTAGATTCATACCATAATCCTAGAACCCTAGGTGCCACATTTCAAGAAGCAAAACTACTTACATGAATAGTGAAATTAGATTCACATACCAATGTACAGCCAAGGCTCTGATACCAATTGTAGGAAATCTTAGATTTATGCGGAAGCGGTTTAGGACCTAGTACATTGGTATGCTTACCGAATCATCCTTGTTTCACAATTACCTCTCGGTGCGCAGGTCTCGTGTAGAATCTTCCCTTGTAGGATTCCTCTTCACGAACAGCTCACCTCAGCGCCGCAGCACGAACAACCTCCTTGAAGCTGGACTGTGGCAGATCTTCCAAACTATCTCTCGAGGAGGAAGAGGAAGTGTGTGGGCACTGATTAGATTCTGAGCTTGTCTCTTTCTCACAAAAAAGACCTTGGAGCCTGATGACTTAAGAGGTACTATTTATATGGGTTCCAAGAAACCCTAGCTCATTGGGCTCTAGGTTCCTTGGGCTCTTCTCATACTAATAACCCATTTGGGCTTTAGTAAAAGAGCAAACCCAACAGTAACATAAGTATATCTCTTTGGATGCGTTTGTTACAAGGATTTTTTTTAAATTTCCAGAAAATTGATATTGAGAATCCTATTTATTCATATTTTATATAAGAATTGTGTTAAAAAAGTTCGAGAATATGATTTTTTCATGATTCTGATATGTGAATACTTTTTAAGCAAAATGCCATTAGCGCCAAGCAATGTTTTCTTTTTCGCGCCACTAGTGCAGTGATGGTGCCACTAGTGTCAAGTCTTAAAGCAATATTTTTTTCCACGCCAATAGAGTGATGATGGTGCCACTACAGGTGGCAAAGTGGGTGTCCTGTCTCGCCATTAATTCGTCAAAAAAATGAACAAGTCCGCATTTGCTCCACTTTTGAGAGTGGGCTGAAAAATTCGGCCTACTAGCTAGCCTGAACTTTTTTTTCACTAACCCACCCCTCCCCGCCATAAAATGAGCCAACCTGCCCTGCCCCGTCCCATTTTGCCAGCTCTAGGTGCCACTAGCGCTAGCATTACAATTTTTAAAATCTCTCTTTATTTTCGGTAATATTTGACAATCAACCAAAAATAGAATCATGAAACTTAATCCAACATTTCTAATAATATTTTGACTTACTAAATAATTTTTTGTCATATTTCTGAAAAATTTAATTTTCCAGCATATTTATGATAACTGTGATTCTCAAGCATAAAAAATTTTCTTATTTGTCAATCGCCCCCTTAATAAAACTAGATCAGATAATGACAGTTGCATTAAGCTAATTTATCTTTATGTATGGACGATCCACGAACTTGGATTAAAATATTGTTTCCGTTAAAAAAATAAAAATAAAAGAATTATACCTATTTTTATAGAATAATATGCGTAGTATTGAATCTATTGATAGTAGTCGTTAGCTACTGGATAAGTGGTTAATAATTCACTATATATATCAAGCATGTTTAATATTTTAAACAGGCAACTTTTATGTTTTACAAATACATTTTTTGAAAGAGAAAATCTTCACATTAATATAGTCAAATATCAAATGATTTTTTTTATTAATACAAAAAAGCTAATCGTGTATATATTATGCAAGTGCAGATAAAAAATGAATGGGTGACTGGGTAAGTGTGAAGACTAAAGTGTCAACCCTTTAGGCCTTTGACTCATGGTGGTATGAAGAGGCCCCACGTGCCTGTTGCACGCGCGCATGCTTGGTGGGTCCTTTGTTGACTCTTAACGCTTCAACTAGGTCATAAGCACGACGTCAACTTTCACCGTTTGGAGAATACTTTGGGCGGCTTGCTACATATTAAAAGTACAACGAATGTTTACAAGTTTTTTATTTAAAAATTATATTATATATTTTTGGAAGTACATTTGATTGATAATATATTTCCTATAATATATAGTGTAATTTATAAAAGTTTATAAAAAAAATTTATAAACAAATATTTCTTCATATTTATATATATTTATAAATTTGTCTATGTGTTTAGGAAAGTATATAAATAAAGAAACGTATTCACCAGAATATATAGGCAAGTTTATAAAAATTTGTAAATAAAAAATTTATAAATATAATCAATCCGTAAAAAGTGTATAATAGTTAGGTAATAGCATAATAAAATTAAAGTTGACTACACTCACATGAGGAAAAATAAATTTTGTTCCTTTGTACTAGTAATCATTTGTTACTTCATCGTATTCAAAACAATTCTGTGTTTAAAAATGCTAACAATAAACTTTAACTCTTTAATATTTTATTTTGATATTTTTATTATTATGTGAAATCTCATGATGATTTCATTAAATAATCTAGACTCATTCTTTATTAGTGGGATCAGCATGAAATTTTAATGATAGATAGTATTAAAAAGAGGGTATCAATTCTACCAAAAAAACAAAAAAAGGAGAATATCAAAGAGTGTATTGTTGAAATTCATTTGTTTGTATGAAGAATAAAAAAGTCATTAAGTAACTTTAGTTTTAAAGAAATATAATTATATATGGTTGAATAAAATTTTCATTTCATCAATATTTTCTGTGATTTCACTTATTGAAGATATTAAGATAAAAAAAAAAGATATGCATGTGTACATAACTTCCTTTAATGAAATATTTTTACTTCTCTCTCGTCCCCGCTCTAGAATTTTTTATAACATATGTCTGGTTAAAAAAAAAGTCCTATCCATAATATTTGTAGTGAAGGATATGATTGTTTTACACTCTTTTTATGTCACTATTCATTATATTTTTTAATAAATGATTAGTTTTTGTGCAAGACTTACTCATATATAATGGGTTTCTTGTCTAATCTACATAGAAATTAAAATAGCATGAAATTTTAAAGAAAAAAGAAGAAGTAAAAGTGTCCAAATACCACGCTGCTATGCCAAATGTTTGAACCTTCCAAGCTCCGTTATTAAGATGTACTCAATTTTATTTTATTTTTTGATACAAAGATGTACTCAATATTAGGCAGTGGTCCATAACATAATATGACCCGAATATTCCCTCAAAATTGTTTGCATGATTATTAAGTAAACCAATAAATTCCACACGCAAGTCGCTGACAAAATTCTAAAGTTTAATAGCTTGCACTGCGGGGCGGGGGCTATATTACAATATGAAACAAGTATACTTGGTTAATTTCAAAGTAGACTTCACCTTATGTGAATAATGACAAAAATTCTTATAAGTCAATTTCCTCGCAATTTCAAAGCAAACAGAAACTTATGGATCTGACCTAACTTCTGTTATTAGATCCAATTCAATTCCATCTTTCTTTTTTCGCTACTTCTTTTTACTGTACTTGTCAAATATATATCTTATTTAATTTTGAAAATTTCGTCGTACAATGATGATTGTTGAGAATTACTCATTACTGGATTTATATGCAGTAATTAGTATTTTAAAGTCAAAATACATATTTGACTTAAATTTGTTTTTCCTTTATAATAATTAAAAAAAAAGGGTTTTTGGCATACGGCAAGTATATAAAGAGATTGAAAACTCAGCTGAAGATGTATTTATTGAATAATTGATGTCTTATTATTTTTTATTAAATAATTACTTAAATAATGTGTAACATAATTATCTTATATTTAAAATTATAATAATATATTTGATAATAATTGATTTAATTAACATGACTTATTATAAATAAAATATACACAAAGTCCTCCAAATTTTAGACCTTCAAGTCAAAATGACGACATTCATGTATCACAATCTAATCTGAAAGACATAGAACAAATGCTCAACGCCAAAGATTAGGGGTTGACACTGATATAATGAAGTGATTTTTTCTTTTTCTTTTTATTTATCTTCCTAAAAATAAGAGCTACTACATTTAATAAGTATTTGACAATGAAAACAGGTATTCTGCAGTGGTTGAAAATATCCAACAATTGCATTATTAATTGACTACCTAAAGCCAATTATGTATTCAATGTGGAATATTATCTTTCTCAATTCTCAGCAAAAAGAGCAATTTCTAAGGGAATGAGGTCCTTGACATGCGAACCTGGTCTCTGCTACAATTATGTTAGGTTAGGTATTAGTTTTTTTTTTTTTTTTTTTTCAGTAAACTGAAAGGTATCCCCACCCCCATTCGGGGGTGAGACTAATCCCAAACCGAGCACCGTAGGACCCTTGCGGGGGCGGCTCTACCCAATCCTTTTTTTCCATACCCAGAGCTCGAACTCGAGACCACTGGTTGGTTAGGTATTAGTTAAATGATAGTGTTATGTGTTAGTTCCCTAACCCACATGAAGTACACGCGCCTACACACTGCGATCTGGTCACCCAATGCGTATGTTAAAAATGGAATAATTAATACATTTTCTTACCTACTGGGTTTATTTATTCACCCCGTTAGTGATACTACAATGTCTTAAATGATAAACATTTGGACCATCCAATGGTCCTCAAGTTCATAATGGGGCACCTCAATAATTTATGAAAAAAAAAATTAGGTAAATACATAAAAAGTTAAAATGGCTAAAATGTCAAATAAGGAGGAGCCATAAATCGTTATTTAATTAATGAATAGTTAATTAATTTTATTATTTGATTAATTATTTGTTATGGCAAGCAGAGCAAAACCCATCACTGTCACCATCATCATAGTCATACTTACAAAACTTTATACACAAGGAACACAAATTGTCCACAAGTCATGTATTATAACTCTTCAGATATGTATTTAAAAAAAAGTAAGACAAAGACAAAACAAATCCAAGAAAATTAATCACAGAAACAAAATTATATTAGAAAAAAAAATGAACAAGATAGAATTAGAATTGGATTCAAATTTTTCTCTTTCTTTTTGTTTGATTTGTCAAATCATCCCCTTGTAATTAATGTCAACCTGATTCCGGTAATCTCCCCTGTCCGTACCCTTTCAAACCGTTCCATATATAAAACCTATCAACCCCCCTAACCTTTCTTATCCCAAGAAGCTAATATACATATATAGTTGTGTGTCTATGATACCGTTGTTACAGTCTTACAGAGCAACTAACTCCAGAAGAAGAGTTCAAAGACACAAACAAATCAGCAAGTACAGAACAACATACAGATTCTGCAGATAAATAGCATCAAATATTCTTGCCATGGCTGAGGAGTTTCAAGCTGGGATTTGTGGTGAAAGCTGGTGGAATATTAATTCAACGAGAAGTGTATTCCCTCTTATGAGCTCATCATCAACCTGTTCTGTGGCAGCTAATGATGCAGGGAACTATAGCACTTGGCAAACTGATCATTTCATGGATTTGAAGGCAACAAGGTCTTGTGCTGAGGAGACTAATAATTTTGTTTCTGATGGTTCTCTGGGTTTTCTTGATGCTCAGAAGCCACAGCAGAGTAGTGGAACTGGCAGCATCTTCATTGATTCCACCTTACAAATGATGGGTTTTGGCCTGTCATCTTCAACTTCATCGAATTGGAATCACTCTCTGCTGTAAGTTTTCAGAATTGGATATCCTTCACAAATAAATATGCGGTATTGTTAGTATGGTCCAAAGTTTCCACTAAGGAAGAAAAATGTTTTTTTTTTCTTTTTTTTTCTTTCTCTTAAAGCTTTTTTCTCGTTGTTTCATTTGAAAAAGGGAACTTTATCTTATCAAGCATATATGGGTATACTTCACTATTTCTTCCCCTATTGGATTCTCCTTTCCATATCCTTATCTTGTGTCAATTTCTTTTTTTTTTTCTGCAGTCATTGTACTGGAAGGCCAGAGAGCAATTTTCATTCTGTGATTCAAGAAGAAACAGGCATAGATACTACAAATAATTCTGGCGGAATCCAAGTTTCCACCGTTGATGCCTTCAAGTCAATGAACCAAGAATTTTCCTTAGATCAGCAGCAGAATCTGAATTCTGTAACCAGCACAGTTTTATCAGGTGATTTCCAAATTGGTTCAGCTTCCTATGGTTACCCTTCAACGTTGATAGAAAGCTTATATGACCCTGATCCTCAACCACATGATTCACTTTTCACCAACCCATCTATGTCCTATTCATCAACTGCAAACTATGGGACATCTTCCAATGAACTTTCACAAACATGGCCTAAAGTCCCTTCCCTTCTGAAGCCATCAATGCCAAAGCAGCAGCTTAGTGGATTGCACTTTTCCAACAATACTCCTTTCTGGAATGCTTCAGCCGAGGCACTTAATGACATAAGAGCAGGTGTTTTTGCTTCATCACAACCACAATATCACACGCAAAATCTTCAAGAGAAACCCAATTCCCCAAGTACTCTCTTAAACAAGGTAATTAATTAATTAATTAATGCTATTCAAGTTCATAAATAATCCATGGTCATTAGCTAGGGTTTTTTTTTTTTTTATTTTTTTTTTAATCAAGGGGATTTCATTTAACTGCAGCTTAAGAGAGAAGAATCTCCAGACACGGCATCAGCGGCTAAGAAAAGTTCTTCTGAGCCTGCATTCAAAAGGCCAAGAATTGAGACTCCATCCCCATTACCAACTTTTAAGGTATTGTAGTATTATACCTTCTTTTTTTTCATGACCAAAGCTTTTGGAGTATGCTAAAGTAAACTACCACTCAAGATCTTCTTTGTTTAATCTTCATAATAATTACACTTTAGATTTGATCAAGTTTATATACATGGACAGGTTAGGAAAGAGAAGCTGGGGGACCGCATCACTGCTCTTCAGCAATTGGTTTCACCTTTCGGCAAGGTTAGTTTCTTCTTTTCTTTTTTCTTTGGATTTTTCTTTAACTTTTTCTCCTCAGCTGCTTTCAAAAACTCACCAGATAATAATATTCTTGCTGATCTTATAATAGACGGACACAGCATCCGTTCTTCATGAAGCCATCGAGTACATCAAGTTCCTTCATGATCAAGTCAGTGTATGTTTCCATTGTTCTAACCTTGTTTTAAAGAAAACCCTAATTTATTGGCTAGCATATATAAACTATTCAAAATGGAAAGTTTACGACAAGGCTTTTCTAATGTTTTCAAATATAATTCTTGTTTCTTAATTTCAGGTTTTGAATACTCCATATATGAAAAATGGAGCTCCCATTCAACACCAGCAGGTATTCCAAAATGCTATAATCTAGCTATATATATACACGATATAGAAATTTCTGTTACATATGGATTTTGAAATATTTGTATATTTGTGCATGTGAAGGGTTATGATAATCTGAATGACTCAGAAGGACCAAAACAAGATTTGAGAAGCCGAGGGCTGTGTTTGGTACCGATTTCAAGCACATTCCCGGTGGCTAATGAGACCACTGTTGATTTCTGGACCCCTACGTTTGGAGGCACACTCATCGGAAGTTAGAGAAGCTAATGACAAAGAGACTCTATCTGCCAGTGGAGAACTGGTGATTATATTTAACTATATATTTGTATGTGTAATCTAAAGGGAAGAAGAAGACACGATTAGTAAAGAGAAAAGCTGAAGAGAACAAAAGAGGGAAAAAAGAAGGAAAAGGGAGAATGGAAGTGACTCTTCAAAGATGGACAGGGAATGCTGGGCCATGTAAAAGCAGAATGATGTACGCTAGCAAATGATTAGTGACCACTGGATCAGAGAACATATATATATATATATACACGAGGTACAATCCTTTGACACCAGTGTCAAATTTGAATTTCGACACCTTATCTAGGAGTCATTAGATCAAAAAAGATCAACGACTCTTTTTTGATCTAATGGCTCCTAGATAAGGTGTCAAAATTCAAATTTGACACTGGTGTTAAAGGATCCTACCTCTACCTCTATATATATATATATATATATATATATATATATATATATATATATATATATATATATATATATATATTAGCTATAGGTTCTTTAAGATTAATAGCACTAAGTTTTAAATACTTTAACGTCGGTAAGGGGCAGGAACAAGTGCTAAATTCAGTGGCATTTGACATTACATTATAGAGTTTTCAATCATGTTGTTCTTAGAGATAATATATGCCTGAATTTAGCAGATGGGGCTAGCTATCCAAAATGCCTTTTGTTCCTGCCGATCGATGTATTATTGTAGTATATATTTTGAATCATTAAAGGGGTCGCTTCAACTTTAATTTTATTATTTAAAGAAAAAGGAAAATGAACAAAATAAAGTGGATTATATTGTACTCTTTCATTTCATTTTGGTTTAATTTACTCTTTCATTTGTTTATTTGTTTGAAATGGGCTAGTGGAAATAGTGGCTCACTTGTCACTTCCCAGTTTTAGGGTTACTTCTCAAATAGGGTGTTTATAAATTATACGCGAGGGTACGCATGCGACAATGCCTTCCAAGCACGTATCAAATCATTGTCTTTAATTTGGCAATGAATCATTATGCTTCATCTATAAAAATTATGATCTGCAATACGATTCTTATGTATATAGCAATATTCACACTCGAGGTAGGATATGATAATGTGAAATTAGTAATTACAATATAATGATAATATTTTATTTAAAATAACGGGTTTTTTATCCATATTTTTCTTACTCATCATTAGTGCTGTCTTAAACAAAAGTTATAGTTAGTTGTCTCTTATATACATATCTAATATTTAATTTTTTTTTTCGTAAGCATCTAATAATATGTAATTTTATTGCAATATTAAGCTGCAAATTTTATCCCTATTCAGTTGGTGCAAAGAGTCTACTCCCTAATCTTTTGAATTAGTTTATATTGAGGGAATATAAAATAATATTTAATATTAAATATGGGGAGGACCAATTTGCACCAATATAAAAAATAACAAGTCTTATTTCCAAAAAAAAAAAAAAATCTTTAAACACCAAGGGGTGGCACAGTTGGCTCAATGAGTGGACTGTTGTGGCTGAAAGGTCACTGATTCGATTCCTAGGTGAAATATCTTGGGACCAGTGATAAAAATCTTCATATTCTACGTCTCAAAAGAGATTAATCTTATCCAAATGAACGAAGACACTCCTACGAAACCAAAAAAAAAAAATAGTAACAAGTCTTTTACTTAATCTCAACTATTGTTTCCACTTGCATCTAAAGATCCACATTACATGACTAATAAATTATAATTATTTTGTGTAAATGGGATCAACGATTAATAATGAATGTTAAACTTGTAAGTTAATCTTATCTGGGCGCGCATATATATAATTTGACATAAGATTTTGTATAATTTGACTTGACATTTGAAGTTGTAAACTTATGGGTGAATATTGGAAAATGGGGCAAGATATTCTTACACCAGGGTAAGAGTTAGAAGTTTTACACTCAATCTTGATCATTGATCCACTTGTATCCAATGGCTCATATTACTAAAAAATTAGAGCCCTTAAATATAAGTGGAATCAACGGACAAGATTGAGAGTGTAACTTACACTGGTGTAAAATGATCCTGACCCTTCGAAAATTATATCTAAGATATATATTTTGTTAATAATTTAAAGTCTTGCATATTATTTTTTGTTTTGTCATTGATTTATAATTAAGTAATGTTGTTATTTCTCTGTTATGAAAAGGAATATTGTAATAGTGTTCATGGATTATATGAATCGAAGGATGAAACAGAACATTGCAACTGTATTAACATGCTTTTAGTTTATTTAGTAGTTAATACACATAGGAATACGCATGCAGTTATACCAGCTTTTAGAGACCTCATATATTATTTAAGGTATACCAATATTGTTTCTTCAGATTATTTGCGAGTTACATAATTTTGAGTAATCAAAAGAGAAATAAGCTTAAAGCGGAAGAATCCGTAAGAGAATTGACTAATCATGAAAAAGTAGCAAATTAATAATTAAATATTTAATGGTAAATATCTGTTGGCATTCGCTTATGAGTTAGACTTTTTGGGTTGATCGGACGATAAGCATTGCACCATGCCATCCCTTAAAGCATCTTGGGATCATTCCCATGTTCTCTCTGGAGTACTCCATATCAAATATTTGTTTTCTTTATAAAGGTGTGTTTACTTAACATAAAAGAAGATACATAAAAGGAATTTCATAAAGTAAAGAAGAAAAAGACATGAAGCATCATTGTGATGTTAATAAAGTATGCGTGCTATGACTCCTCATACAAAACTTTTCTTTTCTTGTTTTGGCTAATCAATAACAAAGCCTGTTTTTTAAACTTGTACTGCAAGATTTTAAGTTTTTATTCCAGCTTGAAAAGGGTTCTTTCTTTTCTGATTTTGCAATCCAATCACCCTGAAATATTAATTGCTTCAATTCTTTAAAAGAGCGTTGGTGTACCAGTTTCAGATTCTTCCATAGCTGTGATGAGAGGCTCTCCCTTCAAATTGTTTACACCTTAAAGTGTTGTCAAGTTGCATGCTTAACCTAAATGAAATTTTCTTCAGAAAACGACACAAGAATTTTAGGGTGCTATACATACACATACTGACTTAAGCATAGCCTTAATTAGTTGAATTTGATTATTCCCAAATGGGATTTGATTTTCTCATTTTGCATGAGAATTCAATTCTCATGTTGTGACTCAACTAGTGGTGGACTCCATATTTATTATAAAAAAAAAAAAAAATTGCACGCAAATCGAAAGATCACTAACATGAGAGTTGAATTCTCATACAACATGAAAAAAAGTTTTCCCTTCCCAAATTATGATAATAAGAAGAAGGGTTTAACTTTTCTTATGTTGTAGGATTGTAGGAGAGAAAAAAAGTAAAGAGAAGTTAAATGTGAGTCCCATATTTTATATTAAAAAAGAAAAGAAAAATTATTTGGCACGGAAAACGAATTTGTGTAGAAAAATGAGAGTATCTCATGTGGCATGAGAGTATTATTTCCCTAAGAAGAATAATAAGGAATAATATTGCTGTCAGTGTATGCCAAACTTGGGGCTGAAAATATTGTGTTTGGCAGCCTAGGCTTGGCTTCTTAAAAGTGAGATAATGGATTTGGGTTGGTCATTCGATCGAGCTTATGATGGTGTTGACTTGTGTAGGACTTGGGCTTAGTTTGGGCATGACTTGCCCACAAAACCATGTATGGGATTAAACATAATGAAGCCTGACACAAAGCACTTAGGATGGGTAAACAAGTAATGGGTGAGTAATTAGGCAAGTATCCTTACTCCAAATCTTCTTCGTCTGATTAGTTGTAAATAGCTAAACTACAAGAATTCCACCACCTCATCTTGTCTAAAGAATTCAAAAAATTTAATTTCTTGACCACACGCATATTTGAATTATCTTCTACGGTAAATCATAATATAAAAAAATATATATTACTACAGTAAATCTTATCAATTTTTACTGTATAAAATTTAACATGTGAAATCATCTAAGCAATAATAATAATAATATGCTAACACACACATATGTATACATTACTTCTTACATTCTGATTTACCTCCAACTTTCCACTCAGATTAAAATATAACTACCTAAACTGAGAATGTCTCTCTACACGTTGATTCATTGCCAAATTAGTTAGACAACCAATTTACCAAAAATCGTATCTCTTAGATAATCATGGCTCATCAATATTATTAGCAAATTAGAGTTGGCAAAGCAGGTTGAATTATCATAACAAGTGCGGTTGCATATCCTAACCAATCAATCCAACATAGCCTGCTCAACTTGTGAGTGTATTAAGGTTGCATCTGAAATAGGGTGTGCATGAAGTGGTTTATAATTGATTTTGACAAAAACTGAATTGAACCAGTTTTAAATGATTTGGTTTTCAAACCAAACCAGTTTTCTTTTTTTAAAACCGGTTTGAAACATTTATGGTTCATAACCGGTTTTGATTAAAACCAATTTTAATCTGGTTTTAAATCAAAACCGGTTATGAACCATAAACCGATTATCAAGTTCAAAACCAGTTCTATAACAAATTCAAAATCGATTTTTGATGAATTGTGTTATTTTTATAAGTAGTCGTTTGTTTTTCTCGATTATAGGTAGTTTGCCAACTATTTCTTGCAAGAACCTTCATTGTTTCGAAACTCTCCGGACGAAATGATTCTGATAGAAATTGCTTCACATTATTTTGAGAGTGATTGGTAGAAGAACAGTTGAATAATTTTAAACCATAAAAAAATTGCTCTTCATTCTCTCAAGATTTATATTACTAAGAGTTTCATTTGAACTGATAGAGAAAGGTATGGGAGCTGCGTATGACACCGTAAAGAGTGGCGTGGGTGTGGCTTTAGATCAATGGAAAAAGGCAGTTGAAGTAGCTGCATCTATGATTTCTGCAGGAAACAATGGAAAATTTGTAGAGAGAAACAATTCACTTGACAACAACTTCAATTCTATCAGTGGCAAGATGATGAATTCACCTTATTTAGAAGACATAGATAATGACTCACCAAAAAAGAAAAATACAAACACGTTGAAGAAGATTGGAGTTTTATAGAAAAAGAACCATCGATAAGCACATGTGGCCCAAGTATTCTATCATTGCATAAACCTGTTAGCCAAAACAGATTTACTTATTTGTTTTTAAATTGTAGAGCAGTTTGGTTATGGATAACCAATTATTTTATAATTTGGTAAATAAGTCGTTTATAAAATAATATGCAGTTTTATATGAAATCGATTTTTAAAATATAGAGCAGTTTGATTAAGGATTGGTTTGATTCTTTTGGACATTTTGAAAACCCTTATCTGAAACGCACCGTAATAAATAGAAAAGGAAAAATAATATTTTTTTTATTTTTTAAAACAAGTAACCCTAATCTCATTCCTTCCTTTCGACAGAGACCTTTTTTTTTTTACTCATTCCTCTCCATTTTTTTTCTTCCTTTTTTTTATCTTGATTTTATTTTCTTTTAGGGTTGCTTACTTTTTCATTAAACTTTAAGCATCGTTTTGAATCTCTAATAGAATCTAAACCCCTATCCATTCCTATTTCCTAGAAGTAGATTTTGGGTTGAATCTTGGAGTTGAGGGAAGTGCTCCAAAGAGAAAGAGGTGTAACTCTCTTCTTAAAAAATTGACATTTGAGCTCTTTGAGATAAACTCCTTATCCCAAAATTTAAGGGAATCTATATTTTTGCATAGATTTATTTAGGGTAAATGTGTTCTTGAACTTTGAGCATAAATTTAGGATTTTATTTATCTTCTTATTATCCATTATTATTAATTTCTTAAATAATTTCTCAAGCTTTGTTAAAATATTTATGGTACTCATATTCGACTAAAACCTAGCTCATTGTTTATCCGGATTCATTGGAAGTATTTTAGTTGATTATTCAGAGCTATTAATTATGATGTATTTTATTCTTAGTACTATCTTTCAAGTTTTATTGTATAATTATTGCTTATTAACATGATGGGTATGGGATTTACGGGGTTGGAAATGAGGAGAACGGGAACGAGTCTTTCAAGCGTGATATGAGGGATTTGGAAGAACTTTTGTCAAAGTTGAATCCCATGGCTGAGGAATTTATGCCCCCATCACTAACAAATCATAATAGCTATTTAGCTAGACCTGGTACCCCATCTTATCTAAGTATTCGCAGAAGCAAAGTGGCGTGAAGCGAAAGTATTTTTGTCTGAAAAATTAGTCAATATTTTTACGGGATTTCCAAAATATCGGTGGTAATATTGGTTGAGATTTTTATTCACATTTTAAAATCATGGGTATGTAATTTTTCCAGAAAGATTTTCACATTTTCACTCTTCCTTATATATCAAACTTGGTAAATAAAATTTTCAATATCAATTTCCCCGAAATCTCAAATTTACCCGCGTACCAAATGCCTCCTAAAAATTTTGTAATGAATAAAAATAATATCTATACTTAGGTAGTGTTTGGTAGAAGATTTATTTTGGAATTGATGGGAAAGTGTAAGTGGATATTGGAAAATACCACGTTTGGTTCAGGTTTTTGAAAAAAATACTAAGCAAATAAGATAGATAGGGAAATGACTTTTGTGTTGATTTTTAGATAAAATTCACTGTTACAGAATACCACTTGAGATGTGATATTTTGAGATAACTGGAAAAGTGAAAAAACAGATGCGAAATTTCTCCCGAACATAGATTTTGCAAATTTAAATAAATTTTCCTGGTAATATTTCGGTCAACCAAACAACTTTTTTTACGTTTTCCTACCAAACTCACTTTCCAACCATTTCTCTAGTAATTACATTTCCCTAGTATTCAAAAAAAATTTCCTCAACCAAACGCCCCTTATTGAAAACTCGGTGCAAATAGAAATCAAAAATCAAATCTATACTTTTCGTAGATGGTTGAGCCGACAATCCACTTAAAAATGGGATGAATTAAAAACTCGAATCCACTAACCAATGTAGACCGACCCGCCCCATCTATTTTTGATGGGTTGCAACGAGTCAAAACGGGTTGACTAAAAAACAAGTAATTGTAATTCCCGCTAAACAATAAAATATGTTCGTTTTGCAACTCTATGAGCAGTGTAATGCTAAAAAACTTGAAGTCATTGAAACTGGTAGCAATTACCAAATTCTTGTTATTGACAATAAGCACTATAAGAAGATGCATTATGACAAGCGACAACAATTGTCTTCAACAGCTCACCAAAAGAAAAAACAATTGTCTTCAACAAAGAGTACTAATTTATTCTCTCTCACTCTTTTTTTTTTTTAAATATTAATATCTTATTCTGTTTGACAATATGGTAACTGGAAACACAATATGCTATGGCAATAGATGTGTATGGAGAATAAAAATCACTGAGATCCCTTGAGCTTCTTAGCAATGCCTGCAAAGTACTTTCCCTGATGGAAAGCTTGAGCCAATTCTAACTCAGTAGGTTGTCTTGTGCCATCTCCAGCGTAAGTTCCTGCACCATATGGGGAGCCACCCTTAACATTCTCCATCTCAAACATGCCAGCGCCAAATGTGTATCCAATGGGGACAAAAATCAATCCATGATGAACAAGCTGAGTAATAGATGTCAACCTGTAAAATTGTAAAATCAGAAAACAAACAGTGAGTGAACACAAAATGAACAGTGATGGAAACATTAGCATTAAGAATTCAGTAACTTACGCGGTAGTCTCTTGTCCACCTCCCTGAGAGGCAGTGCTGTAAAAGATGCCAGCAGGCTTTCCTGCAAGTGCCTGTGTACGCCATAGTCCTCCAGTTGCATCCAAAAATGCTTTGAATTGAGAAGCCATCATTCCAAATCTTGTGGGAAAACCAAACAACAAACCATCAGCCTCAGGAAGCTCATTGGGTGTAATAACTGGAACATCAGTCTTTGGAGGTGCTCCCATCTTCCCAAGGACCTCTTCAGGCAATATTTCAGGTACCTGTAATAGATAAAATATTGTAAGTGCACAAAGAAAATTCCCTGTTTGTTCTGATTTTAAGTTCTAATGGAAGGTATAACTTCGCTAAATCATCTTAAAGATATTTTACTATGAATATTTGAACACTTTGGTGACAAGAAGCCAATCTTTAAAAGATTGGAAAAAGCTGTCACCTCTTCCACATGTCTATGATTCTACCTAATTAAAAATCTCATTCATATAATGACAATGTGCTATGTTAAAGGGGTGGAATAACTGAGCACAAATAAATTGGTTCTTACTTCCCCTCAGTACATAATTTATCCTTTAATATAAATGAAAAGGTTTATAACTAGAGAGACTATAATACAAACCTGCCAGAGTTTTGCTTCTACTCCTTCCACGGAAGCAGCCCCTTTTAGGATCTCTTGAGCTAGCTTCTCAACATGTCCGTACATAGAATAGTACCTAAACATGCAATGTAAATTTCAATCAGATTCATGACAGAGCATCATATATAGAAGACATTAACTATAACTTCAGAAGGAGGAAACGATCTTTTATAGGTCTTATGATACTAATTATCACTAAGGAAGCCAAAATCGAAAAAAAAAAAATGTTATTCGAAAATTATGGAGCTTAGAAACTCTTTACTGGGTAAAGACAAATGAGATCTACAGAAAATGTTTAAATATGGGTGAAGCATCAGAATCACTATAACTCAACACATAAGATGTGATTCAGGGAAATATTGCTACACCTTCCGACCATTAATGCATCAACACAGGAATTTGGTCGCACATTGCTCTCACCATGGTCCAAGGGCAACTATAAGCATTATAGTACCAGACAAAACATGATGACACTGGTTACACTCTTACAGTAAAAAACCATTAAATCGATTTTCCCTCTTCTACATAAAGATGGTAAAGGTTGGGATTGAAGAAATATTAATTTCTGAAAATTCGACTTTTAACAGAATTGCAAGTCAAGGAAATAAAGACCAATCCTATTAGTTATCAGAGCATGCAACTGGAACAACCATCAACAATGACAAATGCCAGGACCACAAACTCTAAAAATGGGTGGAGCTTGCACTCGTCTCTTCATGGTTATTTCCCTTTACAGCCTTATTATTTGGGAAAATGTAGATCTGGGTTCACAATTTGCCCTTGTGAACCCCCTAAATTTGATGTCAAAACTATTTTTGTCGGCTTCTTTATCTTTCTTTTAATGTGATCATAATTGTTTCCACTGCAAGCATTATTATGTTACTCAAACATGGGGCAAAAAGTTTTCTTGCCAACACCCAACAGAAATGAAAACAGGTATGTACAAAAATTTCTCCTCCTTGGCTGCAATTGTAAGAACTGAAAATTTTTTAATTCTTCCTCAAGCCCAAACAGATTTGATTTCAGGATTATGTAATTTAAGTTATTATTTAATTTTGTTTCTTGAGATTTTACACAAGTCCAGCAGCAAAGATGTAATACATTCAAATACTGAGTTGGTGACAAACAGCAGAATCCCCAAATCGTCAACTTTCGAGGGACAAAAACAACAAAATAGCATACCATAATGAAATGACGAGGCAATACAAACATTAATAGTTGACTTTACTTCGTGAAAATTCTTCAAAAGGAAGACACATAATGCACTAGAAGTCTAAAACTTATAGCCACTACTAAAGATCCACCACTTCCCAATTCATCAATCTACAAGCACCCCATATCTAATACCAAAACGAATAACTGGGAAGGGAAGCATATAACCATGGACACCCGAAATGATAAGACAGCATCAAAACGAAAGAAGAAATAGACTCCACAACAAGCAAATAAGCGGAGCCAATCAAAAAAGGAGAAAAACAAAAATAAAACCATGCCATCAATCATTATGTGGCGAAAATGAAGCAGACCCAGAATTCAGATGAAATCAAGGATTGATAAATTGATGAACTTTATCATAGTAAAGTGATAAGTAAGGAGAAAAGAATAAAATCCAATAAAATTGGAGTGTTGAACGAAACCTCACTATCAAAGCAGGTGATTGTGCCTAACAAGAAGACAAAAGTATAAGCAGGAAAAACGAGGGAGGGAGAATGGCTTACACAATGTAAACTTTAGTTGCCATGGTCGTAACTTGCAAAGCTCTGCTCTTCTTTTTCTCTGTGGAAATCAAAAGGCGTTGGTGAATGAAACGTTGACAGGGTTACCTATTCTTATAATAGCACTCCTTCTGTAATATAATCTTATGATAATAGTTTTAATGAGAGATGCTCGGAAGAAAATTTGTTTTATTAAGATGGATCAAGTCCCAATATTTACAAACAAATATTTCAACTAAATAATTTAGCTCTGGCTTATTTATTTGGTCCTTATTGTTACTATCAATTATTATCATTACTATTGTTATTATTATTATTTTGATATTTATCTTTTGATTAGTCCAATTAAATGGAAGATGATGCATGATTGGTGGGTCAACTCTTACTCTTACATCATACACATGGTGGAGTTGTTGAAATCACGTCCATCCATGTTCATTTTACCTGCAAATGATATATAATTTCTCATTATTGTACAATAAAAAAACAAAACTTCTATGTCTTGAATATGCCAAAATTGTACCAGAGAAATTTCTCTCAGTTTTTCAATTTTCTGAATCCGGTGACACAGAATGTCCATGTTCATTCATGTATAACATATTAAAAGTTTAAATAAACTAATTGTAAATATGAATTAGAAAATATTTTTCTTATTGGCTTCATAATAATATTTTGATTAATATTATGAATTTTAATTTAGATTAAATTAAATATTTTTTAAAAATAAATGATATATTAAGATCATTTAAATGATTAAATAGGTAAGTGATATAATTTTTAAAGGAGATTATTTTTCTAATGAGTAGGATAGAAGTTCTATCTCCTACCAACACAAATGAAGTGGAAACCATCGATTTAAAAACTAAAAAATAAAAGAAAAAGAAATGACATGTTATTCGATGTAAGTACAATATCATAGAGTAATCTTATTTAACATGATAATATGATTTTCCATTTTAAAAGGAATTATGTATTTTATTTTTGGCTTTAATGTTTCTAAATGCAAATAAGTTATTTACATTCACTCTCAAAACAACATCGTTTTGAATTTAAATATTAAAAAATTATAATGATAGATACTATTATAACCTTGAAATAAATTATAATTTCAAAAATATCTTGGTTTCTGTCTCAAAATGATATCGTTTTGGGTTCAATAGAAATAATTTATCTGCATTCATTACTGTCACTGAAAAAACAAACCCTTAATATTTGTATTCATTGACAAATCAATAAAAATATTTTTAAAAAAATTATTTCATGCGAATTTCTATCTATTTAATTTATTATTTGGGAATAGTGTTTGTCATTTTAATTCAACCTTAATGACTATACATCGAACAATATTTTAAAAAAAAAACTTGTCATTTTAATTCAACCTTAATGACTTTGAAACTTCTTTAAAGCATGACATAAGCACAGCAATAAACATAATCATTTCTTGACCATCTAGTTTTATCTAGTATTTGTTGTATAAATTAACTTTCTCAAATAGTTCAAAATGGTAAATATTTAACTATAAATTTTTTAAGAGAAATATTAATTTCATGTCATATAAATTTTTTTTTTCATCCACTCACAAATTAAAGGAGACGAAAGAAAGAAAAGAGGAGAGAGGAAAAATATAAAGTGGGCTTTGACTTTGAATTTTATGTGCATGAGATAATTTTTCTCATTATTTAATCATAAAAACTCTAATATCATGGCATGATTCTGCTTTTAAATGATTAGTTTTTTAGGCCCTTCATCTTCAAGCATGTAATTTATCTTAAGGATAAGGCCAAAAGTTATAAACTAATCGTTACAACTTTAAATTACATGCAATTTGATAACTTAAACTTTTTAATACAACTTTAAAATTTTAACAGGCGACCGAAGTCTTATTTTTTACCATTTATTAACTTAAACTTCAAATATTGTATGCAATTTGTAATTCAAAATAAGAATAAATATGTATCCTTATGATCAATGGTTTTAATAATCAGCCTAATTACGCAATAAAAAATTAAATGTTTTTTGAGTTCTAAATATTCATGTATTATTGTGGATGATTCTTACGTTCAATATACGCATGAATGACGCTTCGCTTTTTAATGGGATAATTACGATTGACAACGATTATTATTAAATACTTACTATACCATTCTTTGAAAAGTATTTATTTTTCTTTTTTAATGGTGGATAATTTGGTGATAGTTAGACTCTTCCTTTGTCAAAATAGAAAATTTAAACATGAAATATTCCTTTCTCATGCATCATGGTCTGACTTTTTAGTTCCTTATTATTTCATTTAATACTCCTTTTTATTTTTCAATTAATAACATGTTTTGATTTATGGGCAGTTGATCATATAAGTACACTAGCAAACAAGAGAAAAAAATATTCCAATCCATAGAAATGCGGTTTTTTTTTTTTTTTTTTTTGGTATGAACGTGAAACTCTGAATGATATGTTTTTAATTGGGGTGGGGTCATTTTTATTTATTAAAATTTGCCGGCGGCTATGATTCGAACGATGTTTTATATACACAATCAGTTGTACCTATACTATAAAATTGGTATCTATATTACAGATCTGGCAGGCCAATCCATTACGCTCCATATAATATTACCAATGACAACTCAAAATTTGATACAAGATTTTAATAAGCAAAAAGCATGGTTGCCCCCATTCTCTTCATTTGGATCAGAGATATGGACCCACAAATGCATAAGCACAAGTAAGAGAAATTAATGGCTTTTGTATCACGAAATGTTGAATACCATGCCCCGGTTTCCATCATAGCAAATAGAGTGTTGCTTGCTTGGGAGGGGAGAGACCATAAGTCTTTCAATTTTATTGTTTTCTTTCATTCTCATTTACTCAAAATTTGTGTATAATGGAAGGCTCACTGAACATTCTACTCCGCGATCGTAGCCTTTACATGGCTTTTGGTAGGTTTTCGTTGGCTTTTGAGGGGATAGCATTATAGAAGCTTTCCTTGTGAAGTTCCTATAGTTCACCAATGACACATAATTTTGTCGCATCGCTGCAAATTTACTATTCCAAGTTTCTGATTGCTAGATAGGTTCCCTTCTAAGAAATTCATACAGTAAAACCCAGTGGCGGATCCAGGAATTTGAAGAAGGGTGGGCACTCAAGTTCAAGTACATATATTTTAACAAGAAAAGTATATTACAATAAAAATAATTACAATGTCATTCTTCTAGGCTTTATTTTTTGGAATTCCATCATAATTGCCTCATTATCAATGCTATCAAATACATCTTTCTCAATATATGGCACTAAACAATCATTCAACCATTCATCTCCAATCCGATTACGAAGTGCAGTCTTGATGTATTTCATAGCTGAAAATGCTCTTTCCACAGATGCAGTTGCTACGGGCAAAGTTAATGCTAACTTTACAAGTAAATAAACCAAAGGATACACAATATGTTTTTTTCTTTTCAACCATCCTCTTGGCAAGATCAGCTATTCCTTGCAAATTCAAAAAATCAGGATCACTTTGCATATCAAAAATATACGTGTCGAGCTGATATTCAAGCATGACAAAATCATTCAAATCAAAATCCGAAGGATAATAGCCAGCAAATTCACACAACTTATTCTTGTCAAATGCCGAGAAAGAGTTGCACGGATTTAAACATGCCATGCATTCCAGCAAATTCGAGCTAACTTCACTAAAACGATCATCCAACTCTTGAAGTTGAGTATCTATCACTGCATAAAATATGTCAACCTTAAAGTGATGCAGATGAGTAACTGGTCCTCTACGTTTTGTTCTCCCTTGTAATGCAAGTACACTTTCCATATCAGGGATATCTATATCATGTTTTATACAAAAATCAGAAGTCTTCTTAAATAGATTATCCCACCCATTATCCCTCATATTCTGTAATAACACCTTTGAAACTTTTACAAGAGTCATAGCATTTACAATATCTTGATCTTTTCTTTGAAGTGTTTGTGACAACTCATTCGTTATTGCCAAGACCTTGATCATCAGGTTCAAAAGTAATACAAATTCAAAAGTTTGCATACGCATTATAAGGCCAGAGGCTTCAGACCTTTTTGCTTGCATAAGGGTTGTATCGTCTTTTATAATCTCTAGCACATCAAGCACTGGATCAAACAATGTACACAGACTTACCAATGATCGGTAATGTGAGCTCCAACGTGTATCCCCTGGTCGTGACAAACTCATTTCTTGATTCAAGCCTCTCCCTGATTGAACATCACCGCTTGCAATACTTTTGACTATCTCATCAAATTGCTTTTCTCTCAAAATATCTGCTCTTTTGCAAGAAGCACCAGCTGCATTACACAACAACGGTATAAAATTAAAGAAATGAGTCAAAGCGTAAACCTTTTTAGCACAAGCTACTAGAGCTAACTGAAGTTGATGTGCAAAGCAGTGAACATAGTAAGCAGAATTATTTTCAACTAAAATCAAGCTTTTCAGACCACTAAATTGACCACTCATATTGCTTGCGCCATCATAACCTTGACCTCGAATCTTTGTCAAGCTCAAGCCATTTTTGGCAAAACTTATCTCAATTGTTTCTTTAAGTGAACTAGCTGTAGTATCTGAAACATGAACAAGACCAAGAAAACGCTCAATAATGTCACCGATGCAGTTCACATATCTTAAAACAATTGCCATCTGTTCTTTAATTGATATATCACGAGCTTCATCAACTAGTATAGAGAAGAAATTATCCCCAATATCTGAAATAATAGCTCTGGTAACTAAACTAGCAGCAACAATAGTAATATCTTTCTGAATTGAGGGAGCTATCATTATGAGATTTTCTGGGGCATTATTCAAAGACACATAATTTACCTCCTCATTGCTTTCACAAAGGAATTTTACAAGCTCCACAAAATTTCCCTGATTCATTGAAGCATCTGTCTCATTATGTCCCCGGAAAGCCAAACCTTGTCGTATGAGATATCGAATACATCGAATAGAACCATTCAGACGAATACGATAATCCTGTTTGGCTTTGTCAGAAATGCCAGACACAACAATGTCAATATGTTGATTTTGATTCATCAAATCTTTGGCAGCACTGAAGCACAAGTTATGAATGCTTCTAACTTTCCCAATATGTTTAAAAAGCCGTTGTTTGTCCTTCCAATTGCTAAATCCTTCTCCTGTAAATGAATCATGACCAGCCCTTCCATCACCATGCTCACATTTAA